CGGTACGGTGTAGATGCATAGCAATATCGGGTACATCGTCACGCTCTGTCTGAACCTGTCCCTGCTGCTCCCGCTGGCGACCAACGCGAAGGTCGACAATTACGTGCTGGTGCTGTGCGTCGAGCCCTCCCCCCCCTCCCCCCCTTTCACTCGAATTCGCGCATTTGGGCTTACAGTTTCTCGGCGCAGGACGAACGGGTACTGGGTCCTGACCGGCATTTGGTGGTGTACGCGCTCGGTCGTCCGATGTCCAGTCCACGAGGCTCTTGTCTGACGTCGTCATCGCAGTCGTCTTCCAGCAGCCTCGGCCTGGACCTTCGCTGCCCAAGGGCGAAAGCTTTATCACGATCGGGTGGAAGCAGGTTTGTCTCCGTGGTCGTCGTCGGGGGTGGCTGCTGACTCGTGTGCACGACAGATCTGGGTGGCTATGAAGCAGCACAAGAAACTCCCCTACACGTTCACCTATCTCGTCGCCTTCTTCCTCCTCGCGGATGTACGGTCCTACGTCTTTCTTTCTTTCTGTGAGGACGTTCGACTGAGTCGGTGAGGGCAGGGCTTGAACACGACCGGGACCCTGGTCTCCATCTGCCAGAACGACAAATTCAGCTTCTCGTTTCTCCAGAACACCTACCTCGGCCTCGCACAGGCGATCACGTCCACGATGAGGTGCGTCGTGGCAAACGCGTTTGGGGCGCAGCGTCTGACCATCGTGCCTTGTCTCTGTAGCACGCTCGGCTTTTGGTACATCCAGAGGTACTGGAAGATCAGCACGAAGAAGATGGCGGGCACCCCCTTCCCTTGCACCCTTTCGTCCGCACCGCTGACCGCTGGATCCGTCCCCAGTTCGTCGTGACCAACGTGGTGACGATGCTCATCCCGCTGTGGGGCACGATCGGGATCTGGACGGACAAGTTCGGGTTCCACAACGTGTGGGAGTTCTGGTGAGCCTCTCGCGTCGTCCGAAACCTTGCCCCCGTCCGCGGGCCCGTTCGCTCATGGCACGCCGACCGGTCCAGGGCCTACAACGTCCTCTTCGGTCTTTTCCAAGCGCCGTACTACGCGTTCTCCCAGACGATGATGGCCGAGCTGACCCCGCCCGGGTTCGACAACATGGTGGGCACTCCCCTCCCCTCCCCTCCGCCTCCCCTCCCCTCCGCTCCGCCTCCGCTCCCTCCGCTCCGCTCCTCTCCTTTCTCGTTCTTTCCGCCCCGCCCTTTCCTCACTCACCCCCGCGCCCCCGCCCCAGTTCTTCGGCCTCTTCGGCCTCTCGAACCGCGCCTCGTCCATGATCGGCCCGAACGTGGTCCAGGCGATCATCGACCGCACCGGCGACAACTGGAAGGGCTTCCCGTTCCTGCTCGCGCTCTGCGTGTCCGCGAGCGCGGTCATCTGGTGCGGGGTGGACGTGACCAAGGGCCGGCGCGCGGCGGTGCGGTGGGCGGAGGGGAGGCGCGCGGCGGGGAGGGAGGAGGCGGGCGCGGAGGGAGAGGGGGCGAGCGGGGGCGGGGGCGACGTCAAGGCCAAGGCGTGAGCGGGGCCAGTAGGGTGGGGCGGGTGTGGGGTGTGTGCGGGACCCGTGCGATGCGTTGGTTCATTACGATAATTGTCTGCTAACGATTCTTCTCTTGCTGTCGGACTTGCGACTCGCGCATGGCGGGCCTGCTTTGCCGCTCGTGGGTACGTCCGCCATCGTCCGCCATCGTCCGCCCTAGCTAGCTCACCCGTCCCCATCGACAGATGACCGCCCAATAATTTTCCAAAGATTTCGGCCGCGGTGGCGGAGGCGGTGGGACGTGTCACTGTAGCGGTAGGGCCGTGCCATGACGAAAACAAGCATTCCCCCAGACAGCCCGGTCCCGCATTCCCGCGTGCTCGTGTTTATGGCGGCCCCTTCTTTCTTTTGAACAAAAAGGAGGCGGGGGAGCTTGTAACCGCCGCGGCGCGAGGCCATCGTGGGCTGGATGATGGGTGTAATTTGCAATCGGAGCACACAGGCCTTTTCGTCTGAAGTCGTGTAACACCTGAATATGATGTCGCGGTCTTTCATCCAACGAACTCGAGTGCCCATGGCCGGCGGGGACTGGCTAGTATGAGCTGTTCTCGCGGAGAAAGAGAAAATGAAGAGCTTCAGACTACAAGTACAATCAACATACAGAGAGATACAGTGCCCCTACTACAGCGCCGGCTTACACTCTACTCGTACACCCCCTTCTTTAGTATCTTACATCCCCACTCGTGCATTCCACGAACCAGCAAGCACGCCAAACCAGAAACACGTTCACCCCCCCCCGTTCACTCCGACTCGACCTCGACCTCGTCCAAGTGGTAGCTCGGCAGCTGCTGCATCAGCTGCTCCATGTACCAGTACTTGACCCTCATCTTCCCCTTCTTCTCGCCCTCCACGCGCGCGATCTCGACCCACGTCGCCCCGAGCCCCATCCCGACCACCGGCTCGAGCACCTCCGCCGCCTTGGGCTCCACCAGCACCCGTATCTCGTCCGCGAACGGGTTGTGGGCCTCCTCCGGCGCCTCGCCGCTCGCCCGCCCGTCCTCGTCCAGCACGACCGCGCCCCGACTCGTGGACATGATCACCGGCTTCTCGATGTCCGGCGCGGCCTTGCCCCCGCCCTTGTCCCAGCCCGGCCAGGGCACGAGCACGAGCGCCGCGAACCGCCGCCCGAGCGCCTCCTCGACCGCGTCCGCCGACGGGCCCTTGGCCTTCTTGCACGCGCGCGGCCCGAGCGCGCGCTCCACGCGCGCGATCCGGCGCGTGGACCACTCGACGACGCCCGTCGTGTGCGTGAGCGGGAGCGCGCTCGGCCCGAGCAGCGGGAAGAGCGTGCGGGGCGTGCCCCAGACCGCCGCGGCGTCGGCCGCGGGGGGCGTGCCGGACGCGACCCCGGCCCAGTCGTTGTCGACCTCTTGCGCGGCCTCGCCCCATCCCCCGCCGTCGGCGGCCTCGCCCCAGCCGGTGCCGGTGCCCGTGGCGTCGCCCCAGCCCGCGGACGCGGCGACGACGGTGGCGCCTTCCTTCTCGAGGACCTCGGCGAATTCGGGAGGCGGTTTGACGGCGTCGAGCTCGGGTTGGGGGTCGTCGCGTTTCTGCCGTTTCGTCGCGGGGCCTTCTGCCGCCCCTTCCTTTTCTTCGTCGGGGACGACGGCCTCGTTCCACGCGGGACGCATGCTCCCCCAGAGGTCGCGCGCGCCCTCGGAGAACGCGTCGGGGAGGACGGCGCCGATGCGGGCGGTCGCGGGGAGCTCCTTGCGGGCGAGGTCGACGACGGCGAGCGCGCGGCGGAGGGGCTTTTCGATGTGGGGCTCGGGGAACGCTTTGGAGCGTAAGAGGAAACGGAGGAAGAAGGCGATGAGGGTGGGGAAGGCGAGGCAGCGGGCGGGGGACCTGCGCGCGGATCGTCAGCGACGTCGAGGACACGGGAGGAAGGCGGTCGTACCAGATCAGCCCGCGATCGCGGAAGTAAGAGGAGAAGAAGATGCGCATGCTCGTCTCCGGGTCGCTCATGAATTTCTCCATGCGGGTGTCTTGCTCCCACTGGTACTTTGCCTCGGACGAGGCGGGCGGCTTGGCGCGCGTGCTCGGGCCCGACTGAGGGCCGACGTAGGCCACGGTGATGTCGGTTTCCTTCACGGGCGGGTCGACGTGCATGGGCTCCTGCTCGTCGTCCAATTCGTCTTCGTCGTCCGAGACGGCGTGTTTTTTCGAGCCGGTGGCATGGGCGTTGGGCTGGGAGAGGAGGCCTGTGTAGAGGCGGAACTGTGTGCGACGTCAGGATTGGCTGGGGCGACAGGATAGGGGACGATATCGCGTACCTGGTCCCAGAGGTTGTGGAGACCGGTGGAGGCGGGAGGCCAGGGCCTGCCTTGCTTGAAGTCGACGGCGGCGGACGCGAACCTATCTATCGGAGACGTGTTTCTGTTCCGATCGGTCAGCATTACGCCGGCGTCCATGGAAGGACGGGCAACTCACCGATCGTACGAACCCGTCCTCGAGAACTCGAGCTCGTCCCAATCCTCCCACCACGTCCTCGACTTGGGCTTCGCGGCCGCGGCGGCAGCCGCCTTGGCCGCCCCGCCCTTCCTCTTCTTCCTCTTGACCTTCTCCGTCGTGTCGAGGGTGTGCTTCACCTTGAGCGCCACGGTGGCGATCCCGAGTCCGTCCACTTCGATCGGCTCGTCTGCGTCGTCGTCTACGTCTGGGATGTCGTCCTCGTTGATCGGCACGCGGATGCCGAGGGGCTGGAAGGAGGTGAAAGGCAGGATCGTTTTGCCTGGGGGCGAGGCGGGGAAGGGCGGAAAGCGGCGGGTTTTGAGCTGCTCGTCGAGGGTGAGCGGTGGCGGTGGCGTCGGTTGGGTTGGGGGGATCGCCATCGATTGTTGAGAGATGGAAGTGATCTGGAGGGCTCTAGACGAGGACACAGGGCTTTATGCGTACGAGTTGTGAAGGGTGCAAGCTTATATCGGGATAAGAAGACAAGGACGCCGTACTTGGCTGCTGCGGGTGGCGAGCCCAAGTCGACTCACCTGCCCGAACACGTTGCTTAGCTATTTGGAGACCTCGCCGTCTTTTACGCGTTACGTGGGAAAAGATAGGAGGGTGCTTATGCGAAATTCATGGAGGAGGCTTTTGGTCAACCGTCAACGCCGTTCCAAATGACTCGTATGTGCAAGTCAGTACAGTATAAGTACTGCAACACGGTACTTGGGTTTTCTGGGGTTTTTCTCGCGCCCGGAGACCGCCGTAATCTATGCAACCGCTCGGCATCTTCCGTGGGCCTATCCACCGGTCCCCTCCTGGTCCCTCCCCCCCTTCCCCCGCAAAACCTGACCCTCCAGCACCCAGCCCCTGGAAGAAAAAATATATAATGAGGTATGCAACAGATAACCACGTAGGCTTTACAAGGTAACAAGTTGTTCCGAGGGCTCTGGGAGCATCATCAGAGCTGCGAGGGCTTACCAACACTATCTGCGTCGTTTTAAAGCATGGACGCCTGGCGAAATGGCATCGCGTCTGACTACGATAACGTCATCAGGAGATTGCAGGTTCGAGACCTGCGGTGTTCACTGCTTTTTGCATGTAGAGGGAAAGGTGGAGGGTAAAAAGTTGAAGAGGCAGAGCAAATATTTATATCCGTATGATCATAGATTCATAATGTCAGACTTCACATAATCACCTCGGAGGAAAGTTGTTCTTAGGCTCGATACCTGAGCGAGGCATCTTATTCTCTTGATAAAGTTCTCATTCATTTGGCAGGTCATCACCGTACAGCCGAAGCCGCGGGAAGACATATAATTACAGAGAGGCCAGACTCGGAAACTCATTGACAGATTTTGTATGTAAGGATCCCATAGCTACCCCTTCACCCAGACCACACCGCACCTCCAGGAGCAGTGTAACTCTGTAAGTTGTTGTATATGTTGACCTGAAAAGTACAGCGTCAATAGGTCGTGCGCGTTCGGGAGCATGCCAGTGCTTACCGTGATACCAGGGTCTGTGGACTTATATTCCCCAGGGATGGCGATGGTCGGAGGACGAGCACTTCCACCGCTCTTGATTGTTACTTGAGCACAGCCTATAAAGTAGCACATGGTGAGCGAGCTCAAGCCGGGTGGGTAAGAACCAGGCTTACCGACGTAGAATTGGGCGCCAGGGTAGGACTGAGCGACATGAAGAGCAATCTACAAATGGCGTCCGTTGGTGACGTAAGGATATGCGTGTGGAGGACAGAGGAACGTACGATCTCAGCGCGGAGGAGGTAATCGCCAGCGGGAAGGCTCGTCGGGAGAGTCACGGCATGCTTGCCTGAAAGTGTTCATATTACCGACACGGACATTGCACAGCAGCATCAAGGGCACCTACCAGCATTGGCGTTGACCATGTCCGTAGCCCACTCAGACGTCGAAGGGTTTAGGAGACCCGAGGAATATATCTTTGTCCAGACGCTCCCCTGACCATCGAACTCGGCGGCGGTCGTCGGTGCCTTCGCGATATACACTTGCACTGGGCCCTTGTGGCCACCGGAGATGGCGTCCTCGCCGGTGCGTTGGGCGTGTTGGTGCCACTCGAAAGTGATCTATCGTCCGCGGTGAGAGCAGGGCGAGGATACGGGAGGGAAATACGAACCGTGGCTCCGGAGTCGATAGAGATTGTATCTACGCTCGCACCAGAAAGACCGTTGACGTTGCAGGTCAAGTCGGTGGAGGTGACGTCTGTGACGGGGTTGTTGCTTGGTGGGGCGCGAATGTAGTTGTTCTGGCCTTCGTCGGTCTGTTGCGACGGTCATCGTTGGTACCAATGTGGGCAGAAAGAAGCGAAAGCACGTACTCCGTCTAGCCAGACGTACTGCATCGTGACTAGAGCGCAGGCATATGAGATGACCTTTGGATGATACAGCCAATGAACACATACAGTGAGCACGAGCGAGCGCCGCTGAAAGGAGCAGAGAAAATGTTAGCCTCATGGTCGAATCTCAAGCGTCCCCGCATGTACCAATAGCGGTTTTATACCTTCCAGTATATCCGACAGATAGAAGCTCGACAGCGCAGATGACATACTCGTGCACCCCACGAGCCCTCTTCTGAACGCCAAGACCTCACCGCATACCGAGCTGGAACGAGTGAAAGCAGCGATACGGAGAAACCTGTTATTGCCAAGAGGTTTGGATAAGAGAGAGGTTTCCGAGGTTGACGCGTCTTAGAGAGAACGGAGAATTCAGAATGCGATGGTCGGACGGTTCGCTCATTGTAATCGCCCCGTGAGATGCTGGCCCGGCCTGGCTCTTCAAAAATTCAGTTGTGTCTGATTAAGCTCGACGTAATCACGGCCGTCGAGATCTTCGGAAGAAGAGGTCAAGAGCCTGTCGAGAGCAACAGAGAGAAACCTACTCAGAGTCAACGATGTCGACGTTCGAGTCCAAGTTCGAGAATTCAATATTCAATCTCGTTCGGGCGCCACCGTCACGTGCTCTCCATCTGCCTGTCTCCTACCACCACCACCACCACCACCAGCACCCACCGCTCTTTCCTCCATCGGTGCCCGCTATAGCACCACATTTCACGGATTGAAGATATAACAAGAGTACCTGTGCTTCGATTCGCGCCCGTTTGTTTTTTGGACCACCCTCAACCAAGGTCTTCCAGAGCCGTGGGTGCCCACCGGCACAATTGACGCAACCCACCATTCGCCATGTCATTACTCCTCGAAACATCTCTTGGAGACATCGTTATCGATCTTGAGGTTGACGCATGCCCAAAGACATGCGAGAACTTTCTCAAGCTGTGCAAGATATATTACTACAACCTCAATGCGTTTTTCAACGGTGCGACGTGTTCTCGTGCTTTCGGCTCACTCTGTCTGAACATGAACGCTTGTGCAGTTTCGAAGGACTTTCTGGCACAGGCCGGAGACCCAACAGCGACAGGTACCGGCGGAGAGTCCATCTGGTCGCTGGTAGCCTCTCAACAAGGCGAGAAGGACGTTCCACGATATTTCCCCCCCGAGATTCTCCCCCGGCTCAAGCACACAGAGAAAGGCACGGTCTCTATGGCCGTCGCGCCCTCTATTGAAGGACAACCCGCAGGCGGCTGTGGGAGCCAGTTCTTCATAACGCTGGCGGATGGTATCGAATACCTGGACGGCAAACATGCGGTTTTCGGGCATGTGGTGGAGGGAATGGACACGCTCGACAAGCTCAACGAGGTGTTCGTGGACCAGCAGGGCAGGCCGTTCAAGGACGTGCGGATACGACATGTCGTCGTCCTCGGTGCGTCCCCCAGTCCATCCATCACCGTATTCGGCTAACCTTGCACCTAGACGACCCGTTCCCTGACCCTCCAGGCCTTGTCATTCCCGACGCGGCCCCTACCCGCCCCGTCGACAACTCCACCCGCATTGCCGAAGATGAAGATCCACTAGAGGAACTCCCAGAGGATGAAGCGGAGAAACAGCGTCGACAGAAGGCAGCAGAGGCGTCCGCGCTGACGCTCGAGATGGTCGGCGACCTCCCCTTCGCGAACGTACGCCCACCGGAGAACGTGCTCTTCGTCTGCAAGCTCAACCCGGTCACCCGCGACGAAGACCTCGAGCTCATCTTCTCCCGCTTCGGTACCATCATGAGCTGTCAAGTGATCCGCGACAAAAAAACCGGCGACTCGCTTCAATACGCATTCATCGAGTTCGACAAGCGCGAGGAAGCGGAACAGGTGAGACCTTCTCATTCTTGCGGCTTTCCGACATGGTCTCACAATGACGCCCCTAGGCGTACTTCAAAATGCAGAATGTACTGGTGGATGACAGGCGCATATGGGTCGACTTGTAAGTTCCGTCCCTTGTTATGCAGCGCACCTCACTCTTACATCTTTCTCACTATCTAGCTCGCAATCAGTGGCGCGCCTCAACACATCGTGGTCAAACAACCCCACAACTGGTCCGAAGATGGGTCGTGGCGGCGGCAGGGGTGGCAGGGGCGGATCACGAGGCGGATTTGGAGGTCGGGACGACCTCGAGCCCACGCGTCGATACAGGGATGCCGACCGCCGAGACGATGACTCCTATGGGATGGTGTTCGATGTTCCGGAAGACCGTCACACCTCCAAGCGCCAAAGAAGAAGCCGTAGTCGAAGCCCTGTGCCAAACCGAGACAGGGTCCGCCCACGACGTTCACCTTCCCCTGTGTCGAGGAGCAGGCACTCACACAGCGACCGCGGCCACGAACGCCGTCGCAGTCGAAGCAGAGATCGGGACTATCACAGACGAGACGACCGTGGTCGCGACCGGCGGCGCTAGAACGTAGGTCGCATGTGTATGGGTCGCGCGCAAAGTGACTAATGAGGTTAACTGTGCGTTGCAGCCCCTACCCTGCAAGGTTTCAGACCATTGAGCTCCTTGGGATGTGGTGCTTCACGGACAGGATAGGAGTCAATGCGGGAGTGGTGGGCTGTGCCTGTACGTAGGTGTCGCATTTCGGCTCTTGGGGACGTAGTAATGGACCTTCCTTCCAGTATATATACCGCGTCCCCTGTGTATTTCCCACCTTTCATTTCCCCCTGCACCCGCCATGGTTCACACTTCATCCGACCCTTCGTTCGACTATTGCGATGCCGATGTCATCCTACGATCAAGTGGATCTCTTCCAAGCGACTTTAGGTTGCACAAATGCATCCTGAGCATGTCCTCGCCATTCTTCGCCAGCATGTTCTCTCTCCCGCAACCGCCCGTTTCCTCCTCTTGCAAAGATGAGCTGCCTATCATCGAAGCCGCAGAAGATGCCCCCGTCCTAAACGCTCTCTTCAAGTTCATATACCCCGTCCCAGACCCTTCCATCACATCCCTCGACGAACTTGTGCCCGTCCTTACCGCCGCGGCCAAATACGAGATGACATCCGCCCTCGACCGCATGCGCTACATACTGGTAGCGCCACAGTTCCTCGCCTCCTCGCCCGTCCGCGTGTACGCCATCGCGTCCCGCTTCGAGCTTGAAGACGAGGCCCGACTCGCGTCACGCCACTCGCTCGGGATGACCATCCTCGACGGTCCGCTCTGCGACGACCTCAAACACATCACCGCTTACGCGTACCACCGCCTGCTCAACCTGCACCGCACCCGCGCGACCGCCGCGCAGAGCGTGCTCGCTGAGGCGGATGCGTCTGGTGAGCGTGTGCGCTGCATGCAATGCAACGGCGCGCAGTTCAACTCCACGCGCTCGTACGCGACGCCCAAGTGGTGGAGCGAGTGGCGCTCGCGCGCGAAGGAGGAGGTAGGACGAAGACCGACGACGGAGGTCGTGTTCGGACTGCAGTTTTTGATGGAGGCGGCGCGGGAGTCGGCATGTCCACGTTGTGCGATGAGCGTGTTGGATTCGTATGCGTTTTTGGATGGGCTCAAGGCGAAGATGGATGCGCTGCCAGCGACGATCTAAGGTGGTGTCGATCTAATGGACTTTTGAGATTACAGACTATCGCCTCTCGGTGACGAGGGTTGCACTAATGTCCATGATACATGATGTATTCTAGATTTATACCACACCATTGTATTGGCTACCACACTTTTTGTCCCGGATATACCC